CTGATATGCAGGATGTATTTTCATTCATTGGACGATATTTGAAACAAATACTCAATACGCCCAAATTTGAATACTGGTGGGGTGTGGCGGGGGTGCTTGATTTTGTCATTTGGGAGTTGTAGTTGTTGGGATTTATAGCTTATCTACAATCAAAAAGCATTCTGAACTCCACCAATGATGAAACTAAACCAAACTTGGCATACAGAACTCGCATGACCAGCAGAAAATCCTGGAAGGATTTGGTGGGCATTGACCTTGAGTTTTGGAGTTGTAGTTCACCTACATCCAGAGAGCACTGTGGACTCAATGATGGATCTGGACCAAACTTGGCACGAATACTTGATATGCCCAAATGTGAACACTAGTGGAGTTTGAAGAAAATAGACCTTGACATTTGGGAGTTGTAGTTGCTGGGATTTATAGTTCACCTACAACCAAAGAGCATTCTGAGCATCACCAACAAGAGAATTGGGCCAAACATCCCACACAGAACCCCCATGCCTTGAAGGGACTCACTGGTGCAAGTCTCCCTCCAGCCTCACATGCTCTCCCTCACCCATGCACTGAGCACACCTGCTCTCCCCTCCCCACTTAAGAGTCTCAGGAACATCCCTCTCTTTAGTTGAGACACTGGCCAATCACAGCGGAGGAGGGCTTTTGGTGGTAGGATTCACCTTCTATTTCCAAAAAGGAAGGCAGACAGGCTGAGAGATCTTCAGCCTTTTCTGTCAAAGGGGTTCCTAAGACCATCAGAAATATGTGTTTCCTGAGGGTCTTCAGTGACCCCTCTGAAATCCCCTCATGACTCCCCCAGGGGTCGCAAGCCCCAGGTTGAGAAACACTGCTGTAATTGATAAAATTCCAATTTGTGCAGGATGAGTGTGTGGGCAGGATCCCTCAAAAGCAGAGAGCCACTATATGTATTCTAGAACCTTTCTCTTCCTAGCCTGCCATACCAGCCAGAGCAGTACTGGCTAAGTGGGTAGTGAATGGCTGCTAACAACTGGGTTTCAACTTGCTTAATGGTTGTAAAGCCATCCCTGAACCCCTTTATAATGGATAATTTTCAGCCTATGTCCAACCTTCCCTTTCTGTGTGTGGTAACAGCCAAACTCCAGTGTTTCTGCATAAAAATGAACTGAGATCTATTTCACTCTGGTTTCAGCCTTGGTCATGGGACAGATAGCTTTGGTCGCCTTGGTGGATAAATTACACAGGAAATGGACAGATTGCCCGTTTGTTCTGCTGGATTTCTCAGTGGCTTTCAATACCATCATCTATAACATCTTTCTGAGCTGTCTTGTTGAGATGGGACTTGGAGGAAGTTTTACAGTAGCCCAGACATGAACCCAAAAAGTGGTGCTAAAGGTCTCCTCTTTGATCCCCTGGTCATTGCCTGAGGAGTCCATCTGGGCTTTGTCCCCTGTGCTATTGAACATACTGTATACATGAAATTGTTGGGTGAGGTCATCTAGAGTTTTAGTATTTGGTGCCATCTATTTGATTGTGTAGATAATAGGCCTGTGCGGTTTCGTTCGTTAATTCGTTAATTCGTTAAACATTCGTTAATTTTCGCATATACGAAACGACAACAAAACATATTTTCAAACCCGGAAGGGTTTTTAAATATCGAAACGGCAACCCCCACAGTTTTAACGAGCTTTCGCCCGTTTTGTAAATGGGGTGGGCGGGGCGAAGGGGCGGCGCAAGCGCGCACCCAGTATTATTTTATTTTATTTTATTTTATTTTATTTTATTTTATTTTATTTTATTTTATTTTTTTTTATTTTATTTTTTTTTTTTTTTTTTTTTTTTTTTTTTTTTTTTTTTTTTTTTTTTTTTTTTTTTTTTTTTTTTTTTTATTTTTTTTTCCCCACAGTTTTAACGAGCTTTCGCCCGTTTCGTAAATGGGGCGGGCGGGGCGAAGGGGCGGCGCGAGCGCGCACCCAGTGAGCCAAGCCCCGCCCCTGCCTGTTGGGCGCGAGCGCGGCTCCCGATTGACCGGCCCGCGCGCGGAATGGTATTATACGTCCTCTCAGGCGGGCCACGGAGGCAGAGCCGGCGCTGCAGGAATCCCCCCCCCGGCTCCTGCGCTCCGGCTCCGGCTCCTGCGCCCTCCTCCTCCTCCTCCTCCTCCTGGCACTTCCTGCAACACAGCTGGGAGGAGGAGGTTTAAGGCGCCTCTCTCTCCCAGCTGTGTTGCTGGGAGAGAGAGGCGCCTTAAAGAGACAACCGGCCTCCGCAGCTGTGTTGCAGGAAGTGCCAGGAGGAGGAGGAGGAGGAGGAGGAGGAGGGCGCGGAGCCGGAGCGCAGGAGCCGGGGAGGGGATTCCTGCAGCGCCGGCTCTGTCTCCATGCGCCTATGAGCTCAGTGTACGTATAATACCATTCTGTGAATCGGGCAGTTAGTCAGACCCATCTCTTACTAACTGCCCGATTCACAGAATGGTATTATACGTACTCATAGGCGCATGGAGACAGAGCCGGCGCTGCAGGAATCCCCTCCCCGCTCCTGCGCTCCGGCTCCGGCGTACGTGCGCCCCTCCTCCTCCTCCTCCTCCTCTGGCACGTCCTGCAACACAGCTGCGGAGGCCGGTGGTCTCTTTACACTCTCTCTCCCAGCACACAGCTTTCAAAGGCATTTTAAGACCAACACGGCCTCCGCAGCTGTTTGCAGGCAGGAGGAGGAGGAGGAGGAGGAGGAGGAGGAGGAGGAGGGCGCAGGAGCCGGAGCGCAGGAGCCGGGGAGGGGATTCCTGCAGCGCCGGCTCTGTCTCCATGCGCCTATGAGCTCAGTGTACGTATAATACCATTCTGTGAATCGGGCAGTTAGTCAGACCCATCTCTTCTGATGACAAATGTCACACCTATCACATAGGAGTCCTTCCCATGTAAGCAACATCTGACCGAATTCATTCTTCTATACAACTGGGAAAGATACAGGAGTTCTGCTCCTAATAAAGATGGGAATAATATGTGAAAATATTCTAAAATGCAAAAGAATGTTTACTATCAAGTAACCCTGATGAAATGAATCCTGGATTGATAAGAAACTTTGCAGTTATACCCTTAACGGATCGACCCCCGCGCCAATAACGAAGCTTGTTTTACGCATGCGCGGGGGTCCGCCATCTTTACAAAATGTTTTGTAAATATTTACGAAATTTCGTAAATACCAAAACTTTTTTTGGGAAAATTTTGTAATTATTTTAAATATCGAAACAAAAAAACACCCCAATTACAAATCGATTTTAGAAACAAATTTTTTCTTGATCAAACAGGCCTAGTAGATAACATACAGCTCTATTATTCCTTTCCACTCCAAGTCTAGGAATCATCATTCTAAATCAGTTGTGGACTGGATGAGGGCATAGAAACTGAAATGTAATTCAGACAAAACATAGAAGGGCTCAGTTCAGTTGGAAGACAGATCAGGGGTTACACCCCCTGTAGACACAGTAACATCCTGTTTGGATTACTTTCACACATTTTACTTGGGGCTGCCTTTGAAGAGTGTTTAGAAATGCCAAAGAGCAACAGCCAGATTTTTAATTGGGACTGGTTACAGGAAGCATGTAAGTCTTCTACTGCAAAAGCTCCACTGGTTACTCATTTTTGGACACAGTATCAAAGTGCTGGTTATGACCTATAAAGCCCTACACTTTGCTAAATCATTTTAGGGATACTTTAACAATTGTTTTAATTCCATTTCAATATTTATATTCTGTGGGCTTTTAATTGTATAATGTTACAGCTGTGAGCTGCTTTGGGTCTCAATCTTAAAAAAACCTGAAGCACAAATAAATATCATTATCATTATTTCCTTCAAAGAAAGTTTTGCAGAAAGGTTTTTTGTGTTGTCAATTTGAAGTAGGACCTTTTGCACAATGAAAATGTTCCAAATTCATCCTCTGAAAACTGTGATGTAGATAATGATGATAATGAGGACAGTTTCTCTCAACTTTCTATATAGATCATTTCTTCTGCAACACATTTTAGAATTTGTAGGAGATAAACAGAGGCCAAATTACACACACCTCTGGTCTTCAACCAAGTGATAATGTGATAACGTGAAACCAATTTCTCTTTCTTACAGCAAAAAGATTTTGCAAACTTGCAACTGCAAAAAAGTTGGTTGCACTAGACATTTCCTAAAAGTAATTTTCATGGCATCAATAAAGTAATACCTCAATTTAGATTCCATGTTCACAGTCTTAGTTACACATCTAGAGGACCAGCATTCTAAAAAGCAAAGAGGAGTGGGGGTTTTTTGGTGTATCAGGAGCGACTATAAGTCGCTTCTGGTGTGAGAAAATTGGCCATTTGCAAGGACGTTGCCCAGGGGATGCCTGGATGTTTGATGTTTTAAGAGGCTTCTCTCATGTCCCTGTATGGGGAGCTGGAGCTGACAGAAAGAGCTCAACTTGCTCTCCCCCGATTTGAACTGGGGTTTAACCCATTGTGCCACTGAGGGCTCCTAGAGGAGCAGATGGGAAAGTAGATGCAGCAGAGGAAAAGGTAGGAATGTATGTTTTAGAGGGAAATTCGGTGTTAAACTCCATCAGCAGTTTGGTTCAGTCATAAAATAATGGAGCAAGTTCTGGTTAGGTTACAACTATAGCTTGTGTAAAACATGCCAGATCCAATTATATAGAGGCAAACTGGGACAAATAATTATTTTATTTAAATAAAAGTTTTTTTCAAAACATCAGAACTTCCTAACTGTGAGAGCCGTTCAGCAGTGGAACTCTCTGCCCTGGAGTGTGGTGGAAGCTCTTTCTTTGGAGACTTTTAAACAGAGGCTGGATGCCCATCTGTTGGGGGTGCTTTTAAGGCAATTTTTCTGCTTCTTAGCTGGGGGCTGGACTGGATGGCCCACGTGGTCTCTTCCAACTCAATGATTCTATGATTGTATGATCAAGCCATGAATTGCCCATAGGTCTGTTCCTATCTTTGCACTGGTAATCACTGTTTTTATATAACACAACAACAACAACAACAAAAAGATAACCCGTCTTTAATTGTTAGAAAATACATGATAGAAAGTCAACAAAAGATAGGTGTGGTAAGTATAACCCAGCAAATAGTATTGTGTAAGACCAAACAAAACTTGTATAAAACTATGTCCAAGTCTTGTAGCATTCAGGTCCGACAGGTTTATATCTATTTTTTCCCCTGAAAACAAAGAGTACATTTCCAAATGTGTATTTATGAACAATATATGTCAATGGTGACATTTTACCTCTTCAGATTCTTTTTGAATTAAGGTCACATCTTATTCAGCATACTAGATTAACACCAGTACAGGGTAGTCACTCAAGCAGCCATTGCATGTAGAAGAGAAATGAAAGAATGAGTAGTCCCTTATACCAGGTTATACCACTGATCCATCTAGCAGAGCATTGTCTGCATGGGTTAGCAGTAACTAAATCTTAAAAAGTGCTCTGTGGCTGTCAGAGAAAGACCTTTCAAAAGCATTTTCCTGAGATCATTCATACCGAACATGCTGGGGACTGAACCTGGACCTTTTGCTTATCCTGTATATACAGCCATTATTTGAGACACCACCTCTCTCCAACAAATCTTGTGGAGGCGAGACCTTGTCTCTTCAAAGCCAAACTGTGATTATATAACTCTGTAGTGGTTGAGGGTACAAGTTGTTCTTGTGCAACTTCAAGTCCTTTCCAGGCTACGCAACCCAAAGGCAAACATATCATGGGGGTGTCTTCACAGAATTGGTTCAGATAGGGGTTGCTTTGGCCCTCCTCTGAGACTTTTTGACCTGCCCAAAGTCACCCAATGAGTTTCTATGGCTAAGTGGAGCTTCAAACCCTGGCCTCCAGAGTCATGATCCAATGCTCAGACCACTACACCATGCTGTCTCTTCTGGAGATACAAGTGCTACACTTTTTGGGCACATTCGTAGAAGTGGACTTGTTTTCTTCTAAGGCATAGACAATACAGTTTTAAAAGGCCCAATAGACATGTCAAAATATATATTTTTAACCATTTTAAGAAATATGCAAGAGCCACTTTCCCACTCAGAAGATCTTGTCTAGAAAGAATTAGGCTTCATTTGTTATCTGTGCCCCGTTCTTGAGTCCTTCCTCCTCACTTTTCAGAGGTATTGTTTCATGGCCATCCTGCATTTTTTCCACCTTTGTGGTATCTTCTTCCTTAGGAAATGTGGGAGTCCTTACAGCTTCATCATCCGTCTCTGTTGCCTCATGTTTTCTCCTTGCTTTTTCTTCTTTTGCAAGCATTCGGTAGTTGTAATAATTCATGATACAGAGGAATATTCCAGCCAAGACCATCACTGACCCGCATTTAATGAACATATATTTGTAATCTCCAAACGTGTCAATAAGAGTTCCTGTGAATTCAGAAGGAGAAAACATAATTTAATCATAGGGCTGGCACTTGGTAATAGAAATCTCAATAGATTAATCATGAGTTTTCATTAACTCCCCTCAAAACAGCCCTAATCAATTGATTTGCATTTAAAGTAACAATAATGGCCAACAGACAACTAATCTAATTACATAATTCAAAGACATATCCATGTCAATCTGGAGTATCAGTATGCAAAGGGATCTATTTCCACCTTAGAGATCAAAGGAGGGAACAAAATCAGCTGTATAACCCTTCATAGACCAACGATGCATCTAGAATCAATGCAGTCTGACACCACTTTAACTATGATGGCTCAATACTATTGAATCAGAAGAGTTGTAGTTTGGTGAGGCACCAGCAGTATTTGGCAGACAAGACTAATGGCCTTGTAAAAATACACCTCTTGTGATTCCACAGCATTAAGCCATAGCAGTAAAAGTGGTGCCAAACTGCAATTTATTCTACAATGTAGATGCACTATATGCCACCAACTTCTTTCATTTATTCTCTATGGTGATACAAGATCACTTTGCATACTTAATTATATAACTTCACAGCAATGAATATTAAGACTTGGACCATACACTGTGAGATTTCCATTGCCCAGTCAGTCTTTGAACCCAGGTCACAAATGTCTCTACATCTTTTGCACAAATCACTACAAGACGGACAAGCCTTTATGGTAAAAGGGTTGTAAACCCCAGGCTAAGTTTTGGTATTCACTGTTAGTGGTAATTTTTCCATTTCCTAATTTAAATTGCTGGCAGACTTTTTGTAACTATTTCCTTGTCTTATTTATTTATTTATTTATTTACTTATTATCCTGCTTTTCTCTCAATATGAGATCCAAGGCAGTGTAACACAGTGCCTTTAATGCCCACTACAATGGCAATTTATCAGAAATGTGGGGGGGGGGGTGTGTGTCAGGAGTGACTTGAGAAACTGCAAGTTGTTACTGTGTGAAAGAATTGGCTGTCTGCAAGGATGTTGCCCAGGGGACCCCTGGATGTGTTACTATCCTTGTGGGAGGCATCTCTCATGTCTTCACATGGGAAGCTTGAGTTGACAGATGGGAGCTCACCCCGCTCCCCGGATTCAAACCGCCAACCTTTTGGTCAGCAGTCCTACCAACACAAGGGTTTAACCCATTGCATCACCGGTGATAGATTATTCTTGATATCATGTGCACTAGGATTTTTGTAATAAGCAGGATATATTCTCCAACCAGAAGAACATTTCATTTCATATAATCTGTCTGAAATGTATCACTCTTAGGGGCAGCCTCACCTCCAGACATGAACTTCATTAATACAGCACTATTAATGAAGCATCAACCACTATTAATGAAGCATCAACCAGAGGCTAATTGCGACCGTTCTCACTTTCTACTAATCAGGATGACCTGGAGGTCAGCTGAATACATTTTACTGAGCATTTTAATTAGGAGACTATTGGAAAATTCAACAGTAGAAGAGTCTTGCCATGGCTCCCTTTGAGAATAAGAGAAAACCATAAAACACACCAAGAAAAATTTACTTAGTTCATTAAGGCAAAACCCGATAGTAGGCTATTAAATGCCAAAGAACCAATCAATTCCCTGCTTATTAAAATGGAGGGGAAAATACTGCAGAACTCATATTGCAAACTACTACACAGCAGTTTCCGGCTTCATTATAGTCTTTAGCAATTAGCTTAATCTGCTTCATAAAACTGCATATAACTCATAACATGGCTGGTTATTCTGAATGAAATGAAGCTTCTTCACAAAAGGAAGATAATCTGCCAGTATTCCTCCTCCACAAAGCACAAAAAAGAGTTGAAAGAACAAGACTGAATAATAATAATAATAATAATAATAATAATAATAATAATAATAATAATAATAGCCTGTTTTGAGGTGTCTTTTGCAAATCAATAGGTGAAGTTCTTATCTGACAACTTTCTTTGGTTTGGCAGAAGTTACAAAGTTAGACATTGAACAGCTGCATTTTAATCTTTATTTTCTCTGGTCGTTTGATCCAAATCTGGCCATTTGATGAGATGACTGATTGGAAAATACAATAAAGATCAGTAAAAAAAAAGCTATAGAAAAACTCTTCAAATTCTGCAAAAATAACTGAAAATCAACCAAAGAAAAAGTCACTGCCATTGTGCCAATGTGGCCTACCCTGATGCCAATGCACATGGCTGCCTGGGCATCTGAGAGAGTATACCTAACTGCACTCACATTAATCAGGGGGAAAAATCCAACAGTTCTCTACAAGGACAAAAAACTACTGAAGTCCCAAAGGTAAGATTGCTCCCCATCTGGTGATCCTCCTATGCTTATCAATATGCCACAATTAAAAGGCCAGTGAATGCAGCATGATTTAATTATAGAAATATGATGCAAAAGCAGAAGCTGAGCAATATTTCTACTGAACCAAAGCATCATTGAAGAATACAGGCAGTCCCCAAGTTACAAACATCCAACTTACAAATGACCCATAGTTAAGAACAAGGGTGAGACAACAGGAAGTGGGAGAAAGCTACCTCTCAGAAGTGAAATTCATTCCTGAAAGAGTTATGGGGAAAAGATTTCCCCACTGAAACTTTAGCACCAACTCTTAGTTCCACAACAAGCCAAATTTTTGAAAATCCAGTTATCACATGGACAGAAAGTGGGGTGAAATCTTCCAAACAGAGGCACAGACAGCAAAACAAACACCACAAGGGTAATTAATCCTTCCTTATACTATCCAAAGCTTATAGATAAATAGATAGAGCTAGAGTTACACTTTAAAATGTACCTGTTCTGACTTACATACAAATTCAACTTAAGAACAAACCTACAAAAACCAATCATGCTTGTAACTTGGGAACTGTCTGTACTTGATTTATGAGGTTCCAGGAAGGACCTCCTGACTAGCAATAAAAGGCTGCTTTTCAACATCAACAACAACAACAACAACAAAACTGAGCAACTAAAAAGCATCAATTTTCACAGTAGTAAAAAAAATGAAACCTACAGTAGCAATTCAGATTTGAATCTATAACTGGTTAAAGTGCTTTTATTTGAAAAACTCAATGAACATTACATCTGATTCTCTCTGCTCAGATATTCTGTCATACTGCCATGACTCCTGTGGAGTGGCTTGTAGAGAGTATATTTATTTTGCTATCAGAGAAGGTTTGTTGTTATTATTGTTTGAAGATAATGAGCATTTGATCAAACAGGAATTATGCAATAAAACATGTGCAGGTTCCAGTATTTTCAACAGCTTCTGCTACCAAACCCAAAAGATCTCACATTGGATTAAAGCTGTTGTATAGTTTCTCACGTAATTGGTGAAAAAAACCTTCCCACACATTTTAAAAGATGGAAATGACTGGGAAAGGGGATAGACATCTTAGTTTGTGGCACAAGAACAATGAGTGTCTTGTGGCCCATTGAAGACTACAGGCATACCTCAGTTCACAAAGCCTCTGATACATATGATTCTTTTGCAAATCCTTTTACACAGACTTTTAGTGTTGGGTTGCAGTGGTGTGTCCTGATTCCAAACGGGGTCCCTTTACCACAGTGTTGGGGTCGCAAAGAATTTTGCAACAGTAAAAGGTTTCTGAATGCCACCTAGATATTTACTCATATCTGTTAGCAGCAAGGTGCTGCATTTACACTAGTCTCTGCTCAAGATGCTTCAGCTGTAATTCATAAAAAGGGAAATCTGCCCTTTGTTATTAGTAAATGTTTGATTTTTATACCTATGTTATATGCCTTTATAGCCAAGATCATGTAAAAATTTCTTGGGCAGAAAGGGGTCTTGAGTGGAAAAGGTTTAAGGAGTCCTGATCTAAACTAAACAATACAGTAGAGACTGAACTGGGAGTGAGCAATCCCAGTGTAACCATGTGTTGTTTACAACAGGCAATGCAAACAGCAGCTGTCTCCGGTATTCTTTACTCAACATGCATGGAGAGTAGAACAAAGAAAAAAGAGAAGAGGCAATAAGCTTGCCTCACTATCTAGCCCAGCATGTTGAAAGGGGCACTGGGGAGAGAAAATAAATCTATAAGTTTGGCCACCAAAATGGAAATCATAAGAAAAGTGAAGGCTGGTTAAAAAATCCTTGAAATACAAGCATTTTGAATATGGGGTACTCAACCTGTACTGTGTTTTCATCTTGCCAGCTCTGCTCTTGCTGAGAATATCTCAACTCAATTCGAGCTCAACGAAAGGGGAATTGAAGAGTAAAAAGCAGAAGAAAGGAGGAACCAAAACTGAGAATGGAAGATTGTTTTATATACATTTCCACTAAGAATTCCAGATTTACCTCTAACCATGCTTACCTCCAATGGGTGGTCCAAGTAATATAGTGCAGCATTCCACAATAGTGACCAGTCCTACCGCACTTGTAAAGCGGCTGGCACCCACAAGGTCCATGAGCGTTTCAAAAAGCATGGCGCAAACCATGCCAAATGCTAGTCCAAAAAAGGCAGAATACACCACTAGGCCCGAATATCCTGTTGCCAAAGGGCAGAGGAGGTGACAGGCTCCATTAAAAGCAATGGAGAAGCCGAAAAAATACTGAATCTTTGGCCTGACCCATTTGCTGTTTGCAATGATTCCAGTAGTTGGTCTGGCTATCATGTCAACTATGGCAAGGATTGAAAGCAGGAATGCGGCTGAATATTCATCAATCCCAAGGTGCTTCGCATATGGAGCCAAAAAGACAATAGGGGCGAAAAAGCCTAGAAACATGAGCACATTCCCTATCAAATAGATCAGAAAGCCTCTGTGCTTGAAAAGAGAGAAATCTAGGAATCTGTTAACTTTCTCACAGCAGTCTTTGTCCTCCTTCTCTTCTTCACCAGGATCAGCCACTTCAACAAGGCCTAAATCAAACTGCTCCTTTTGAAGGGTCTCTGTAGCTTGTTTGTTTGCTGGTTCTTTGGGGGAACCAGCTGGAGGTCCAATGGGTCTGAAGAGTGCTCCAGCCACGCAGCAGTGGAGGAGGAGCGCCCCAAGAATGAAAAAGCTGCCCCTCCATCCAAACATGTCAAAAAGGAGCTGGTTCAAGGGGGCCAGTGTGCAGAGCATGACGGGGCTCCCTGCCATGGCCAGACCATTGGCGATTGGGCGTCTTTTCAGGAAATACTTCCCAATGATGATCACCGATGGTTGGAGGTTGAAGGCAAGGCCAAGTCCTGCAAAGGAGAGAGTGAGAATGAGTGCCAGAGCCTTTCATCCTGCATTTGCCCTGCCTGAAATGTAGCCTTTTAGCTGAGACCCAGATACTGTTTTCTCATATCTGTAATCCCTTCATATTTTCCTGTTGCAGAAAAAAACCTGCTAAGGAAGAAAAGACCACAGAACAACAGATTGGTTCAAAATTGGGAAAGGAGTATGGCAGGGTTGTATACCCTCACCCTACCAATTCAACTTGTATTCAGACCACATCATGTGATGTGTGGGACTTGACGAATCCAGGTAGGGAGTTAAAATTGCTGGAAGAACATTAACAATCTTAGATATGCAGATGATACCACTTTGATGGCTGAAAGCGAGAAGGAGCTGAGGAACTTTATAACCAAGGTGAAAGAAGAAAGTGCAAAAGCTGGGTTGAAGTTAAACATAAAAAAGCAAGATTATGACAACCAGACTGATTGATAACTTGCAAATAGAGGAAGAAATCAGAAGACGCTTACTTCTTGGGAGGAGAGCAACGACCAATCTCAATAATATAATTAATAGTAGCACATTGGCAACAAAGATCCACATAGTTAAAGCAATGGTATTTCCCATAGTAACCTATGGATGTGAGAGCTGGAGGAGATAAGTCACTTTTGAACTGTGGTGTTAGAGGAAAATTCTGAGAATGCCTTGGATCACAAGATGATCAAACCAGTCCATACTCCAGGAAATAATGCCCGACTGCTCATTGGAGGGAATATTAGAGGCCACATAAGGAGACAACAGGAAAGCTTAGAGAAGACAATGATGCTGGGGAAAATGGAAGGAAAAAGGAAGAGGGGGCAGCCAAGGGCAAGATGGATGGATAGTATCCTTGAAGTGACTGACTTGACCTTGAGAAAGCTGGGGGTGGCAACAGCTGACAGGGAGCTCTGGCGTGGGCTGGTCCATAAAGTCACAAAGTCAGAAGTGACTGAACAAATAAACAACAAAGGAAGAAAAGACAGCATACATGGTAGTATCTATGAGCCCTCAAATTACTTGTTGATCTATAATGACCCCATCTATTCCATAGAATCATCTTAGGCAATTAGTATTCAAAGGTAGTTTTGCTGAAATATAGTCTACAGCACCTGGTATTAATTGGAAGTCTTGCTTCCAAGTACTAACTAGGGCTGACTCTGTTCAGCTTCCAAGATCAGACAAGGTGTGATGTCTTTAGAATATTTAAATGTATACAACAAAATGAAGAGAAAAGGGCATTTTGATTATGTCAATAAACTGTAAGTAGTAGCACGTGTCTTTTAAAATTCTGTGCACAGATCAGGCTCCAGACCGAATTATGCTGAAGAAAATCCAGTCAAGAAAATGCATAAATCTATGGTTTGAGCTAGGAATGCCACATAAATAGACATACATTTTAACAGCAGAAGGTTTATGCTTTGACTAGACGTGCTGCAATTTTTTTCTTAAATTTGTTTTGAAAACAAAATTACAAGCCCAGCTTGTTTCTAGGATCATTATTTTAAAAATAACATGTGGGTTGAAGCTGGTCTATCAACTATTTTTGTTTCCTACAGCTATGAATGCCTTAATTATGTTTTAATATTGTCTTGTTATGGAGAGATTTGAAAATGCAACAGTTGGGAAACTATAAGACTTTTTATTGCATGTCTTTAAAGAAAACCTGAAGATGTCTACCCTGATAAAATTACATCCAAACCAGAATTAAAAAAAGTGGAGAACACATCTCTACAAGACTAGGTTCAGTGCCATCCAGCAAAAACATTATATAGTAGCATGTGTGTATGTGCCCTTACATCCAAGGAAATTCTCATGGGTCTCATTTAAGAAGTTTTTAGAATAAAAGATGTCTGAAAAAGAATACTTCAAGACTGAACTTATAAAGTATAATGTCAGAGATAATAATGCAATGATACGGAAGTCAGATTTGCTGCAGTGTTTAATCTTCCTTTCATCCCCTAACACCAAAAAAGTAAATGGATGTGTTAATTTTCTTGTAACGTCAGACAACTTCATTTATTATAAGAAGACGTAACCTGATGTTACAGTGAGTTGGAGTAAATTAATTACACATCTTCACCTGCCATGAAGTGTTGTATGGAAACTGTTTCATAAGAGAGATGAATCCATTCTTATTCAATAGAGCAACAGCCCAGATTTTGGGACGTCTCATAAAGATGCTTCAGTGGACCTTAAATAGCTATAAGGATGAGGTGAAGCAAAAATATCAGCTGTTGCTGCCTTCTCACTCATCTTCTTTCCCGATGCTTTTTCTTTCCCAATGCTTTTTTTAAAAAAGCTGTGATAAGGAGGAGGGAGCAGGCTTGTTTTGTGCTGCCCTGGAGATTAGGATGGCCTTCTGTCAGGGGTGATTTGAATGCAATATTCCTGCTTCTTGGCAGGGGGTTGGACTGGATGGCCCATGAGGTCTCTTCCAACTCTTTGATTCTATGATTCTAGGACTCAGAACAATGGCTTCAAATTACAGGAAAGCAGATTCCACCTGAACATTAGGAAGAACTTCCTGGCTGTGAGAGCAGTTCAATAGTGGAACTGCTCTCAGAGTATGTTGGAGGCTTCTTGCTTGAAGGCTTTTATAAAAAGGGTGGATCGTCATCTGTCAGGGGTGCTTTGATTGTGCTTTTTCTGCATGACAAGGGGCTGGACTAGATGGCCCATGTGGTCTCTTCCAATGCTGTGATTCCCTCTGAATTCCCTCTGAATACTAGGTCAAGTGAATACAGGGGAATTAATATGCTTGTGGTGACAATGTGGTGGTGGTTTCTTCTTGGACACCAAGGTGTCCTCAGCTAGGAATGTTGGCTCTGACCAACAATACAAAGTGGATTTTCAGTCACTAATATCTAATGGGGAAATGGTCATGAACACTTGCATGGTATCAGAAATTTTCAGAGATGTCTTCTTGCTGCAGATTCTTGTTAAGACTCTTCACCTGACTTTCCTCCTTCGCTTCCATCAGAAAATGCTGTAGTCCTCTCGATAATTGAGATAAGTGTTAATAAGACAGCAAATAACTTTAAAACCCTGTCCTCACCACTGACATGACCCATTTTGCCAGGACAGAGCACATGCCCAGAACATTATAGAAAACAGATGGTAGTGTCTAAAAGTAACATCATTAGGCATATTCAAAACCAAGTCTCATTTTGAAAGAAAGAAGGAAGGTTCTACCTGTTATGAGTCCAGCGCAGATGTACAGCTGGAAAATGCTTGTGCAAAAAGATGCAGAGATCATCCCAATGCCACACAGCAGACCTCCAAACATGACCACCGGTCGGCTGCCAAAACGGTTCACCAGGATACTGCTAAGGGGGCCTACAGACATTGGGGTGGGAAAAAAAGATCCCTTTAGAATATATCATTAAAGCAAATGCAATGCCAAACTGAACTAGTTCTTAAGAATTCAGAACTAATTTAAGCTTCTGGTAGTAGTAGTAGTAGTAGTAGTAGTAGTAGTAGTATAGTAGAATAATAATTTTCTTTCTTACCTGCTTCTCTCTGTGGCTCAAGGTAGGTTACATCATAGTTAAAACACATAATCATTGTAAACATGCTATAAAATTCAGATATTTAAAGGCATTTCTATAAAATACAGATATTAAAATGTATTTCTATACATATTAAAATACACAAAACAAAGATTAAATACAGTAAGTGAGTTTAAAATTCATGATTAAAACTGACTGGATACTCCTAGGAAATTATGGTTTGAAATCTGGCAATAATCCTGGACTTCCTTATCATTACATATGTATTAATTATTTAGTGCCATGTGCCTGGTACTTTGCAGAGTACAAAAGAATGCATGCTTGCCCCAAGGAGTTTACGATCTAAATTTCAAGAGAAGTGGGGTGTAAACAAGCAAACAAATGTGGAGGATGGTATTAGAAAGGAATCAATATGTAGTTATTTTAGTTACAACAGGAGTGTGGTGGCAGCTCCTTCTTTGGAGGTTTTTAAACAAACTGGATGGCCATCTGTCAGGGATGCTTTGATTGTGCTTTTAAGGAGCTGCATTAGCTCAGTGGGTTAAAACTACTGATCAGAAGGTTGGCAGTTTGAAGCTGTGAGTAGGTATGAGCTCCTGACTGCCAGCTCTAGCTTCTGCCAAACTAGCAATTCAAAAGCATGCAATGAGAGCAATTCAAAAGCATGCAACAGGTACCGCCTTGGCAGGAAGGTAAAAGGATGCCCCATGCAGATATGCCAGCAACACAATCAGAGATGTTTATGGACAACAGGCTCCTTGGTATGGAAAAAGCGAACAAGAGCACCTCCCCATGGCTGGAGTTGAGCATCACCTCCAGATGCCAGAGATGGGAAAAGGGGAAGGTCTTTACCTTTGTCAGTGTTGTATGTCTGTGTGTGAAAGTCACTGAATGTTTGCCTCATATGTTTATTGTAATCCGCTCTGAGTCCCTCCGGGGAGATAAAACAGGATATAAATAAAGCATGTTTCCTGCATGGCAAGGGGCCGGACTGAATGGCTCTTGGGGTCTCTTCCAACTCTATGATTCATAGAACTTTTCCACAGAAATTTTAGTTCTCTTACCAACATTGTATTATTATTTGCATCCATGAAGAACTAGGCTGATCAGAGTAACAGATTCTATAGCTATGCCTAGTTTGTTCTATGGGTTCCTGGTGGAGGGCATAACATTCACAAAGCAGACAGAAAAAAATAACCTCGGAGTGAAAATAAACTCCATGTTTTAGTCTCAATAAAATGACACAAGAGTAACTATTATTAAATAGAGAAGCAGCACAATGACAAAACCGTGATATTTAAGAGAAAAGGATGCCTGTGGAAACATACTACAATAAAAAACAATAAAAATATTCTGGCATTTAAAAGACTATCATATTTATATTGACGTAAGAGTTGGTGGGACTTGTTTAATAATAGAATCATAGAGTTGGATGAGACCTCATGGGCCATCCAGTCTAACCCCCTGCCAAGAAGCATGAAAACCACATTCAAAGCACCCCCAACAGATGGCCATCCAGCCTCTGTTTAGAAGCCTCCAAAGGAGGAGCTCCCACCACAGTCCAGGGCAGAGAGTTCCACTGCTGAACAGCTCTCACAGTCAGGAAGTTCTTCCTAATGTTCAGGTGGAATCCCCTTTTTTGTAGTTTGAAGCCACTGTACTAAAAAACCATTACTCAGTTATAACTTTCTTCCTTTCTTATTGTAATAACTAAGACAAGCTAAGTTACATTATGACTGTAACCTAACAAGAGATACCTTCATGACTCTTGCAGTGCACAATTGCTCCTAATGGCTCTGCATCCTCGTTCCAGGGCACCAAAAAACATGCTTGCACAAAATGTCAGTCATGAGTAGTTTATGGGGCAGAGGGATGCCAAAAATAGGGGAAACATTATGAAATGGAAGGATTCTTGTAGGTCTATAACATTTCTATGCACGGTTCAAATGTTTATGAGAAGCATATTGTGGCCAAATGTACACAAGGAAAGCCTTGTGGCTATTAATGGTAGCAGTTAACTGGCAACACTGGGGAAATTGTGTTATCACTCATTGTAGTTGGCCCTAATACTCATTCTGAGTACACTGTGTGAACTTGAACTTTGCATAGACATGTTGTGTACTAAACTACTTTGGCTTTCTATATACATTTTTCTTCATGCTGTAGGTACACATATAATAGAAGATTAATTTCATGCATCTGATGTAGTAAGATTCAAGTTAATGAAGGTTTGTGCCGCAATATATGTATTCATCTTTAAGATGTCACAATACTTCTTGTTAGTCATGTTGTTTAACTGCTACTTCCAATGTCAGAGACTTTGAGAAGAATTATGGCACATTTTGTCACAGATGAGTATCACATACACCTTGGTTTTATGTGCTTTATGATCAAAATTTTTGAGTTGTCCTTCATGGTAAACTATGGTAAGTTTCCCCTTTCCTTTTATGAAAGGCCTTTGGGAGTGAAAAGAGACCTTTAAATTCCTCTTTCTTAATTAAGTGAGTTAGGTGAGAATGAAGTCGAAGAAACAGCTGGCAAGGATCTGGCACACTCATAAAGCTGCCACTTACTTTCCTTGACCTTGCTGGGAAAGCGTTGACAGATTCTCCTGCAAAGCTTCAGAACTGAGCAAGTGGCCTCTGAGGTCTAGTCAACAGCTGCTGAAGGTTTTATCAATACAGCCTGCAGCTTTCAAAACTGAAAAAAAAGCCACTTCAGAACAACCATCACTAACCTGGAGCATGGAACTGAATAATGGGGAATTTGGAGTGAAAATCTTCAGCTCCTTATAGTACTCACATCTGCTAACAAACATGGTCACTTGATTTCAACTTAGAACTTAAGTGTTCAGAGATCCTGTGATGAAAAATGGCAAAGGGCTTACATATTTTAATAAAGGAATGGGAAAGTATGCATGTCTAACAGGGTTTTGTTTTAGAAAAAGTCCCCTGCCAATGACACAACAAATTATACTAGAATCATAGAACTGGAAAGGGCCGCAGAGGTCACTGATTCCAAACCTCTCTCAATACAGGATTTCCAGGTGGAGTAATGGTTCCTAAACTTCTGCCCTTTTGTTGTTTTGGATTACAACTCCAAAAAGCCCAGGCAGCTTGACCAACAGTCAGGAATTCTGGGAGCTGAAATCAAAAACATCTGGAAAACCAAAGTTTGCTAGAGCATCCCCAACATGTAGCTGACCAGCCTCTTTATGAAGACAACCAGACCTCACCACCTCTCTAGGCAATTCCTTACATTGTCAAAACATTCTTACCACCACTTTCAATGTTCAATCAAGATTGACCCTCCTGAGGCTTACTAGATTACCATCTCAGCCCTTTTGATGACAGAACTGAAGACTGACAGATCAGAGGTTAGAATCCAGGGAAAGCGTGGATGAGCTCCCTCTGTTGGCTCCAACTCCCCATGTAGGGACAAGAGAGAAGCCACCCAGAAGGATGGTAAAACATCAAAACATCTGAGCATCCCCTGGGCAATGTCCCCTGGGCAACAGACACAAAACAAAGGGATGGAGGGGAAGATAGTGACAGAAATGAAAGGGAATGGGGGGAAAGACAGGCATGAAGGAAAGAAAAAAGGGTAAGAGGGAAACCTGTTTGTAACTAGGAGCCAGATGCAAGTCCGATGTTCATAAACCAGGGAACTGGAGGCATATTACTGTAGACATATAAACCGCCACGGGGAAATGAAATTTTAATTTCTCTGTCAGACTGGGGAGCAATACCAAATGGGAACACAAAAAGTGTTTTTTAAGGATTCTTGAAATCATGCCTGACTCTTTGTTCTGGAACTATTCCAGAAGAGTAAAGCTAGCAAGCCGATATGCTCAAGCTTGTCTATGAAGAGAGGCCAGAAGGTCAACCCCAAATAGTTCTTTTGGTACAACAAATGACAGAGATTAAAGAAACCTGTCTGAACCAGATGATGTAATCTGCTCATAATATTTTGGGATCGATGTGAGAAAAGCAAGCAGGTAGGGGCAAAAAGGTCACGTTCCTAATCCCTCTCTATCTAAATCATTTTATCCCCTGTAGAAAAGAAAACAGCGAGAACAAGGCAAAAGTAGCTACATCCAGAAACAACCAGAAACGGCTGGTACAACCTTCATGTTACAAAATCCCTTAAGCTTTAATGACCATTCATTTTCCATTGTCTCTTAACAAAGTCTTTCCTAAATAAACACTGCTTTTATTATTGCCAAAACAATCTGATTAAGACCTCTAAACAAGATCGGTTATCTAGGCAGCAGCCTCTTGATCCATTGTAACATTTCATTTGTTTATACACTAAGAGGCAAATCAAAGGCGGAAACTGAAAGAGAATCATTTTCAAGAGCCCTCAGCAAGATTGGATGCTCTTGAATAGCAACTGAGCTCTCAGCAGAAGAGATTGTTTAAATAATGCCAGCTGCCATATCTGGTAGACAGATGTGGAAGGAGTTCGGATTACTCTGCACAAGTCAACTGGCCTGTAAATATGACTACTCTGATTGAACGTGCTTTTCTGTATTGGTAATAGTTGCTAAATGAGAAAAGATTTACTAAGACAGTCCCTTCAGTATCTCATTCCTTACAGAGGATTCATCTACACTGTAGAACAGTGGTTTTTAACCTGTGGGCCATGGACCACCAGTGAGCTGTGAGGACAAAATCTGATCCACAAGCCTCCTATTTTATTTTATTTCCTCTCCTTTTGTGCCGCCTGCCACTCCTTCCCTGTCGCTGACCATGGTATATGTTCTGTATCAGAAATTAGATGTGGTCTATCCAAAGCATTTTTCTGAATCAGCACCCCAACCAAATC